GATTCAAGTTTGTACAAATCATGACCCCCGGGGGTAGGGTAAGGCCAAAATGACTGATCAAAGTTTAACATAGGAATGTAACGGTAAAATCTTTAAACATCTTCTTCTCAAGAACCACTGGGCCAGGAAAGATGAAACTTATGTGGAATCATCCTCAGGTAGTGTAGATTCAAGTTTGTTCAAATCATGACCCCCAGGGGTAGGGTGGGGCCAAAATGGCCGATCAAAGTTTTACCTAGGAATATAGTGGAAAAATCTTCTTCTCAAGAACCATTGAGACAGGAAAGATGAAACTCCTGTGGAATCATCCCCGGATAGTGTAGATTTAAGTTTATTCACAACAAGACCCCCAGAGATAGGGTTGGGCAAATAACCTATAAAAGTTTTACATAGGAATATATAAAGAAACCTTATGATATTTATAGGGAATTATTCTTAGGTTGTGTAGATTAGATTCAAGTTTGTACATATCATGACCCCTGGAGGGTTTAAATTCAAGCCCCCTCCCCCCCCCCTCAGTAAACTTTCAGTTCTGATATGATCTGGTATGTGCTTTTTCCTAGCCAATTGCTCAGGTGAGCGATGTGGCCCCTGGGCCTCTTGTTTGTGGCCCCTTCCAAAGTCAAGAGTGGTTGAAATCAGTGTATTTAAATGGTTTGTTTTGTGCTGGACCTCCCTTAGGCTGGAGTGGGTGAAATACAGTGTAGTGATTCTATGTATTGCACCTGTCCCGGCCTGTGGGTGGTTCTAGAGAGTCATCTTCAGGTTTTCAGTACAGCATTTGACATAGATACTCAGAGGTTATCTCTTTTGTACATTTTTTTGCATGTCTTGTCTGGGTTTTTTTCATGTTCATTAGTTACTTAATAACTGTTAGAAAATGTTGACTGTGAAACGAATTATAAACTTGCCTATGTTCCATTTGAAGGGGTTATGGTAAATCAGTGGTTAAAAAACTTAGAACTACAAAAGTAGAAATGAAAAAAAATCTTACCAGTATTTATATACATGTATGTGAAAATCAGATGTTAAATTATTAATGTTGAATTGTTAATGACATTGTATTTGCTTATGTAGGATGAGGTTGGGATAGAGACAGATGAAGACTACGGCACATCACCACCAGAAATCTGAGGGTTACCAAAAGTCCGGTCAGAGGTCAACCGGAAGTCAGGTCAGAGGTCAACTAAAAGTCACATTAGAGGTCAACCAGAAGTCAAGCAGTGAAAGAGGAAATGGTCGGTTAATTATTAAACTTAATTATATGGGACACTGTGAACTTCAATATGATCATTTATTTATATATGTTTGGAAAGTGATTGGTATGTTCCAGTAAATGAATCGTCTTGCAACCCTCTTGTAATATGAATTCAGTGCATTCAGTAAATATGTGTTCATATTCTTTTTATTATATATTTTTTATACTAATTTGTTTTGTTGCATCTATGAAATAAAAATGTTTTATTATTTGCAGTTTTTCTCTGAATTTTGGGGAAACTTTTTAGTGATATATATATATATATATATATATATATATATATATATATATATATATATATATATATATATATATATACACACTTTTCATCTTTAAAAAAAACCCAATCTGACATAGGATTTTGAGTTACTTTTGGGGAAAAAAAATTAACATGAGAAAGATGAAGGTATAAAAGTGATCAGTTTCAAAATTATCCACAGTTCCACACACTATAGAAATCTAAACAAGGCAAATATATGAAATTTCAAAGGAGGAATCTGATGCCTAGGGAGGAGGAAGTATCCCCTATTGACCCGTCATAGCTGATGTGAAGCCATGTGTTTTGATCAGGAAGATAGAATTTTCCGTAGTCAAATTTTGTAGAAAACAAGGTCTCTTAAACAAATGAGTCGAAGATACATCTTATTTGCTAACTAGTTCTAATTGTAACGGGGACCGTTACAGATGTTCCCCAAACGCTCCCCAACTCCCTTTTTGTGCAAATTTCAATATGCTTAGTTTTGCAGGATTTCATAAAAGAATTTTAAAAACTACAATGATATTAACTTTTTGTCATTTAACGCATTGTTCGCAAACGCACGTGCATGCACATGCAAAGTGATCATGACATGTTGTCTAAACCATTAACATATCTTTATATTCCAGAAATCAATAAAAAGTCATAAAAATATAAATGTTACCGTTTTTCAAACGTATTGTTCATTTTACGCATTGCGTGTGCGCATGTGCATGCAAGCACGTCCTTGCATTCAATTTTGATAGCAATATCATGTAGGAATCCATAATAGCTATTCATATTCTAAACTTCATCCTGTTTTGTTGAGAAACAAGAAAGATATAGGCATGTAAAGTTTCAGCCAATCAGATTGCAGCACACGTGGATTTACGTGCTTTCATGATAATTCTTATATATCATGCTGTAGATCTTCATAATATGTGACTAAGTTCAAAATTTCAGAGGATTATGACGTAAAACAAGAAAGATATCGAGACTTTAGTTTCAGCCAATCAGAGCAAAGCGCACGTGCATGTGCGTAAGATCTTGCAATTTTGACCATGTCATCTTGTCCATACTACTACTTTATTCATGCATTGTGAGTTTCAAAAAATTCCATTAAGAAATATAAAAGTTACGGCTTCATCCATTATCTTGGTAATTTCACATGTTGCACGTGCGCGCTCTTGCCAGCACACGCGTATGTACGTGCTTTCATGAAAATTATTATATATCATGCTGTAGATCTTCATAATGTGTGACTAAGTTCAAAATTTCAAAGGACGAAAAACAAGAAAAATATTGAGACTTTAGTTCCAGCCAATCAGAGCGAAGCGCACGTGCATGCGCGTGAGATCTTGCTATTTTGACCATGTCAACACGTCTATACTACTAATATATACTTATATTATGAGTATGAGAGCATATAATCAAAAAATAGAAAAGTTACGGCTGTATCTATTATTTTGGTCATTTCACGCGTTGCACGTGCGCGCTCTTGCAAGCACGTGCGCACAAAATGACCTTTGTTCGGCAAATCTACATAACATGCCTACTGACCCTAAAAAGGTTTCATCTAAGTCGGACGTGTAGTTTACAAGATCATTCGCGGAAAAGATTTTCCCAGGAAGAAGAAAAATAATAATAATAATAAGAAACAGAGTAAAAACAATATGTTCCCCAACTTCGTTTGGGGAACATAATAAGGTCATTGTAGTTGATGACTATACGGAATGAATGAAAACCTTGAGTATCAAAACATTTGACAGTAGCCTGTGTCAGATTCAAATTGAATGTACTTGGAGCATGCACAAATTATTGAATAAATTGTGGAACAAAAGACCATTTGCATGTGATGGCGGATTATTGCTACATAGATTTTACTTCATAAGAATATAACAACAGGTCAGTTAAATTAAAGGAGCACAATTCGTGCCGATGGGTACATAAAACAGGTCAGCTAATAAAGAACAATCGGTGTCCATATGTAACAGGTCAGCTGAGAAAGGAGCACTTGATCATCCATCAATATCCTAACAGAGAGCCTGGTATCGGTATCCAAGGACTTGACAATAACTTCTGAACCTTTTGTGTTAGGGCTTTCAAAATTCACCAGGTATTCCATGTTTCCGTTTATTGAATATGAAGATGTTCATCAAAATTCAAGTTTCGTTCCCTCCCTTTTTTACTTACCTAATGCGATAGCTCCAAATCACGTGTTGATTCTGATCACTCTCGTTCGTTTGTCTCCGTTCAAATTTTTAAGTTACAGGCATTGATAAATTTCAAGAACCACTGATCTAGAAAAGATGAAACTCTAAATGTCCCGAACAACAGGACAAGAAAAGATGCATGGCACTTATATGGAAGCTTCTAAAGGTAGAATAAAATGTGCACGGTGGCGCCACAACAGAGAACTAAAGTTTATTATTAAAATATGACTTTAATCATACGCTTACTTATAATATGCAAAGCTTCCGATAGTTGAACAGTAACTCTTGTTCATTCAAAATCGTATAAACGGAGGACAGATAATCTTTTAAAAAGCTCTAAATGTCTTCAAAAGCAAGTCCTGGAAGTGATTTACATATATAACTTGAAAAAAAAAACATCACAGAATTCCAAAAATATTGTGTATATCACAGACTCGCAAGTCAGTTAAAGTCCTCATTTAAGAGACCACGCCTACTTTTGTTGACGTTGGTTACTATGGTAGACAAATCGTTTCTTCCGATGGTTTTTAGCGATGATATTAAGAAATCAACCATTGCAGACCTTGCTGCTTTCCCCCTCCATTCACAAAGAACCCGGAAGTTCGTTCGAAGAATGTCTCCATCACAGTCATCCTTGGCGCGAGCTATCCAAGCAGAGTCCACGCCCAATTGCTCACCGAGCATGCGTCCATCCCTTTCGGACAAAACACGTGATAGGTTCATGATACTGTCATGGGAAAGCATTTTCTTTGCAGCTAAAAGATAAATATAAGATGATAAGATAAAAATACACATGTTTAAATAATACAACTGGGGTTTGTGTTAGGACTGAGTATAATGAAACTCAGCGTAATGCGTTAGAATTCACATAAGTAAAAGTTATATATTAAATGCACTATTATATGTAAAAGAACCAAACCTTCCTCCTTTTGCTTCATCTGTTCTCTTAAATTGTTACTTTCGTTGTTTTTATTGAAATTCTTTGCCGTTACTTCATCTAAAATAGAATTAAAAACGTTTATGTAGCATTTTTAAAAACAGAAGGACTTCTTTGATTTTAAAATTCACATGTATGAGAAAAAGCAAGTTGAAAGCAATGATAATGACAAACCTGTGGGGAGCTCAGATAAGTCTCGGACTGGAATATTCACAGTATGAAATGGATTCCCACTGTCCTCCTCGTGAAATGCAAATGAAGCATATGGGATTTTTTCTTGATCCCTGTGCACTTCCATAGGTATATTCACGTGATTGTCTGCACCAATCAAATAAGTGATCTTAAACGAATCTGGAGGGTCTGCTAAACGGAGCTTGATTTGTCCATCTATTTTTAGGATGATCGTCTGCTTTTGTCGTAGCGTAATGTCTTTAGAACGGCTCTGTTTCACCTCGATTAATCCTGCTTTTTCTTTATTTTCCACGTCCTCCCGGATTAGATTTTTATCGATACATTCAATCCAGACAAAGAAAGATCCCTCTTCCATGTTTCTTTGGGAATCGTCAAGGAAAGTACAGATATTGCACAGTTGGACCAATCCAAAGATCAGCTGGAATTCCTTTTTAACTGTGTCCCTCATGTTTAGGAATATTTTTCTTATTCTAGCAACGGCAATTCTAGAAACAGAATTGTTGATTTAATAAACAGTATCAGTTCAATTATCATGTGTAAAAGTTGTGAAATGTAAGCTAAATAAACTCATATGAGAGATAATTGTAATTTTACCCCCAGATGCCTTTGGTCTCCACAAGATAAAGGTTCCTGTCTTTTTTAAGCCGACATTGGGACTTATCCAGAACTTGTACCTTGCCTTCATTAAATCTACATAAAAAGAGAAATCCGATAATTTTAAATCATTTTAATTTTTTTTCTGTTATATATAGTTCTTAAAAGTACTGTGAAACTTTTCTAATCCAGATGTCTTGTAATCTGAAATCCTGTCTATTTCGATGATAACTTTCAATATACTTACCTGATGACTACTAGTTGTGTGTCCGGATCCTCCTCATCGTCCATGGAAACCTGGACAGTAAAGGTTTTGTTGGTGTCACAATCTCCATCCATTCTGATCTCCACCGCGTCAGAGGCCGAGACGATCCCTCTAATGGAGTCTGGACACTGTTCCTTCAGAGCCGCCACCTCCCTCAAGTCGTAAGGAATAACCTTGGATTAAATATCATGATATATATCTAGAGTCTTATTAGCAAATTAAATATGAAGTCTTATTGACAGACAGTATTAAGTAGCCAGAATTGTTCGTTAAGAAATGCTTTGATTTAAAATACATGTACATGCTTTAATACCGCATGCAATTGTGATATATTATTCAGGAAAATTCAGGAAAAAGGGAAAAAAAGATTTAAAATATAAATAGATTCTCAAACAAGAGTTTTTGGTAGATTTATACCTTTATTTTTATTTGCTTAGTCTCGGTTACAAGTCCTTCGGAGAAAGTGACCTTGACATCTGGGTTGGCCTCGCTTGTAAATGTTGTTCCTTCCGGAGACACCTCTGCACTTTCAGAGAGGATTTCAACGTAAGACGTGAAGGCTTCCAAATTATTAGTTTTAAAAGAAAGATGAGCGTTGCTGTCACTTATATCCTGAAAATCAAATATAATAAGGTTAACAAAATCCCTTATAAAAAGATGAATATTATGTGGATCAATAGCTATTTTTTATGAAATTGTTTAGGTTAGAGACCATTTCCTAACAGATTTTGCCTAAACATTAGAGGTGGGTTCAGGTGCCATGGGGGAGTAACCATCCCTTGTCCGCCGTATGTTCCTTGTTGTAATCGGACACACGGACAATTCAGTATGTAAAAACGTCAGGCAACATTCACTTAATGATAGACTGCATTTGCTAATATATATTGTATCGACCAAAACAAAAACTTGCTAAATATAGAATGACCTTAAAAGAAACTGTTGATGACCTTGTTTCCTCATCTTGTTTGTCAATAGTTTGCTGTGTTTAGATTTTGATGGTAAGTAGAGCATGCTCTTGCGTATTGAATCAACTTAGAATCAACTGGAAGACTTATAATCCATCATATAACTTTACCTCATTTGATGTTTCTATTTCTGTCCAGGCGCCATCTTGTTTTGCTATAACCTTGATGGTTTTGTTCTTTGTACTTGACATAGGAATATACGTAAAATCAATTTCCACTTCTGAAGACGTTTTTAAAGGTCCATTCCTGACGACATATATGTCAGAAACGAGAACCTGGTCAGAGGTCAAGGGTATTTCATCTAACCAAGTGTCTCGGTCTTTCATTGGACAAGAACCAAGTGAACAGTTTGCAACTTCAGTGTAAACTTCCGGTTTGTAGTAAATTGTTGCGTCACTTCCGCTTGGATCTTCAATACAGACTGTTACTCTGGAAATAATGAAACGTATTTAATGTTTTTTACATATTTGTTCTAAAATGTTCTCTGTGTTAAACTATTAAAAATTTGTTCACATACTTCCGCTTTTTAAAAATCTCGTCCACAACGCTTTGTTTCAAAAAATGTTCTCCGCATTAAACTAAAAATTTGCTTACTTACTTCCCCTTTTTAAAGATCTCATCCACAACACTTTGGTATACCCCAGCAAATTTGTCGATAGCTTGTTGATCATTCTTACAACTGTTAATAAAATTTTGAAACATAATGTAAATTTCACAAAAACACAGTCAAGTGGATTAAACAGAAAACTAATCAAAATATGTTTAATGAGGTCTTGCCTATCATCCTTTTCTCCTTCTTCGCCGTCTTTTTCATTTTTCTCCACGTACCTTATAATAAAAAAAGACATTAATTCAATGAATGTTGAAACTTACATGTATCTTCCAGTCATATTGAAAAGGACACTTTATATTATAATTAATATTAGAGAATCCCATGACTTCAGTTCAATTACAAATAGTCATTCGTTTGCAAACATAAACTACATTCTTCTCTTTCTCTTTTAAAGATAGGTAAGTGTTACAGTATTTTGTAACCACAGAACATCTCACTGATTATTGAGTTCCATCTGTAAATTTTCTAGCTTTGTCAGCAGGTTGTTCAGGCTTTCTGTTACTTCAGTGGATTCTTTTGCTTCCACTTGTTCGTTGGTTTGTTTGTCTGTGTCTTTTCCTTCCCCTTCCTCCTTACTTCTACAAAAAAAGGTTACATATAAAACATTGTGTTTTAGGTGTTTTCTACGAAATGTCTTGTAATATATACATGTGCGTTTGCAAAATGCACTGAACACTTTATAATCACAGGGGCCTGTAACATACTGTTTTTGATTTTACGTAATAACTATATATATACAAAAAAGGATACATACTATAGTGATTACGTAAAATCAAATACAGTATGTTACAGGCCCCTGTGTTTATAATCATCACATTCTGATAAAGCACGGTCAAAATGATTGGAATACTTTAAAATAATTCTACTTGAAATGTTATTAATTTCTTTACATTTTTTATACGGATCTATTGTGAGAAATAAATTAACAGTTGATTTTTAGTCTTCATGTAAAACTATTTTTATTTTCAATATCACCACTAAAGATTTCAAACAATGCCATACTCCTCTTGCATGTTCTGTTGTTTAAGTACATTCTGGGCGACATGATGAATGCTGAATAGAAGCCACATCGCCATGTCTAGTGACGAATCTTCAGCATTTTTCATGGATCTGTTAAGGAAAAATCAAAAGAAATACAAAATGAATTCTTTTGTTTCTTTTCATTGTTATTGACAATTGCTTTTACTATACACAGATATCAAATGAAAACCTTTGATACTGTAAACAGACTTTTATTCGTGCATACTCTTATTCCTAATTATTAGTTTTTAAGATTGGAAGTCCAAACTAGTGGCTATTGCAACTGATGGTGCATCAGTAATAGATGGAAGCAAGGGCGGTAAATAATATGCAACCATTAGTTTTTCGACCGAGCAAGCATTGTTAAATAAAATAAACAGCGAAAAAAACTATTTAGTTGTTGATAAATTTTCACAACTTATAAGAAGATCGCAAAACTTGCAGATCCATGTATTTCTCTCATGCAAATAAAAGTTAGGTCGTATCATTTCTGTTGCTACTAAAATAAAGTTTTTCAACACATTCTTTTCTTTTTGTATTTATTTTAAAGGAAATTTATGACGGTGTCATAGCGTATTTATAAAGAATTGAACCTACGTGTTAACCATGGCCTCTATCAGTTGACTGAGCAAGTCAGCTGTTTGGTTGAGAGACTCTGCAGCTTTCTGTAAAACCTTACTGCCACAACTGAAGTGAATAAAACAAAGAACTTTCAATGTACAGTAAAACAAAGTTAAAGTCAACAAGCATATAATGAACTGACGCTTACAGCGATTTGGAAGTGATTTTTCTTTCCCGTAACTTAAGTACATGTTGTTAACTTTACGGATATAACGAATTACGCTTATAACGAAGCATCCCTAAAACTTCGTGATAAGCTGTTTCATTGCAATATTTAACTGATCATAATTCATTTTGATTTTTCATAATGCATATGAATACAAAATTAAATGAAGCATACATGTATATTGCTAAATGCTATGTTATATGAGTTTATATAGAATTTGGTTACTTTATCTCTAAGTTTATTTCTTACTCCTCTGGGATAGGGTGTTTTGTGAGATTGACCGCCACAGTGGTAAACTTTACACAAGAACAACAGGTGTCAGCAATTTTCTTTGCAAGGTTCTCAAATTCGCTTTGATTTTCCCAATATCTAAAAAAAAAAACCATTGCATCTTGTATATTTCTTTTTGCCAACGACTATAATTTTGATACTAGTATATTAAGGAAACAGAACATTTTTGCCATCACTTACTGTTTAATCAAAGGGATCATTAAATCTACTGTAGTCGTAGAACAAGCTGTCCAAAGTTCTAGGATGTCCAGAGTGGTCTTGTTGTAGTATCTATGAATGTATTTAAGATTGGAAAATATATGCCAAAGATATATTGTAAATTGTTTGAGTATCATGTTTAAAAAAAATTTAAAAACACTCATTTCTTTTTTCATTAACAAAAAGATTTTTGATACAATAGAATAATTGTTGTGTTGTAATATTTTGTTCATTTCATACAATTTTTCTTTTCTTCTGAAGGAAGGATGAAATGTTCATTTTCGCTTTGTTTTGTGACAATCTTGTCATTTACTCTTTATTTCATATGATTATATTTTCATTTCTTTGTTTTATATGATGATATTCATTTTCCTCTTTGTTTTCTGATATGTTGATTCGATTCCTCTCCCGGGCTTTGTTTTATAGGACAAAATAGTTCACATCTGATTTTTTTTCATGACGAAGCTTACTTTTTAGTCATTTCTTCATCATCATATATATGTGATATGTATTCTCTGTGGTCCTCTGCCATGACGTTGATTGTTTTACAGAACTCATCGTAGACGGCAGCCATTTTGTCAGCTTCTGCCGAGTCCATACTACAGAAGAGCAAACAGACAAAGCTTCTTTCATAGATGTTGTTTTTAATCTTGTTTATTATAATTATTTTGAATTCATAACACTTTTAAAGGAATAAATGAATATGGTAATTAATGATTGCTAATTAAGTGTTCTGTTTTTTCCCTCAAACGAAGACATAAAGGGTCCCTCTCAAGAAATGATTTTTTACTCTAGCTTTGAGAGAAAGAGAGAGAGAGAGAGATTTCATATTGACATTTTTGTTGTTTAAAGCATTTAGCGTTCAATTATTAAACTTACCTGGACATATGAGATATTTTTCCTTTGAGTTTTGAGCATACACGGATAGAACTCGGCAGTCCAACATCTTCTGTCTGTCGCCATCTTTGTCTTTATGAAAGAAATTATAAACAATTGAAAGTTAAAACTTGATAGTGTTTTGGTGCTTTTCTATTTTTCTGGGTTTCTAAAAAGGTCAAGCTGAATCATAAGTTCTCTCTAGTTGAATTTTCATGCTGTCTAGGATTTCATGAATACGCTTTAAATTGTCTAAAAATGCCAAGCTTTTTGGGCACTCTTGGTACACAATTGAAGGAGAATTAATTAAACTTGTTTTAAAATTGTGAACCAGTTAAATCCCTTTGACATGTATGAATGTTGTCTTTTCCATGGCACCTGATCCCACCTCTGATGTTTTAGAGATTTTGGATTTTTGAGCTTGAATGCTGATCGTTTACTCCATATTTTATGTAAAAGATTTCTGCTAGACCCAAGTTATTGAGAATTTACTTTAATTTATACAAAACATATACGTATACTCCATACATAGAACACATAGAGTATATAGTTATATTGTATATAAATAATACCTATGAGTAAAGGAGGAGTCAGATAATGAAAGTCTGATCTTCTCTATGTCATCTTTAAGAATCACCAGAGGATCATCCTTCTCGTCCATTTGTCTGAAAATGAAAGCGATTGATATAGTAGACTATTACACCATTCTACATGTAGTATTTTTACAAATTAGGAAAAAGAAAACTTCGCATATAACCATCATTTTCTCCTTAAATGTTCATAATATTTCACTTTAATTCACGTTTAATATGTAATTACATATGTTAAAATATTAACTAAACTAAAAGAGTTAATCTGCGAATCTTGCAGATAAGAAAATTTATTTTTAAAATGACACTAGTTAGTTTTCTTAACATGTTAAGTATTTTTTCATGGAAAAAATGTGCATTTGATTCTAGTTTACATGTTATTGATTATAGCACAGTTAATTTTGCGATTTCTTTCCTCATGGATTAAACTTTCTTTTCAGGGGAGGAATTTCTATCTGACACATTTAAGGGAAATCATATTGTAGTCTCACCTTGGGGTGCTGTACAAGAAAACAAATCTATTAGATTGAAAATATTTATTATGCTGTCATCCTAAACAATCAATAATTCAGATTAATCCGTTTGTTTTCCCATGTCTTCATTCTTCATGAACTTTAAAGCAATATTTGTATAATACAGTTTGTTTTTCGTTTACTAACAAAAGATAAGCGAACTAATTAAATATTATATTTCCTAGCAACCCAGAAATGTGCCTTTTCTATTTACATTGGAGCATATATACAACGAAAATCCTAAATATATAGCGAGATCATTTTCATTTTTTGTAGCATCGATGTGTCTAAAATACTCGTTGGATTTTTTTTTTTACTCAGGTCACTCTGACCTACTGACCTTTGACCCCGTTTATTCATGTGTTCTTGGCGTCTTGCTTTCCTTTCGCGTTCCTTCTTTCTTGTACTAAGGAAAAAAATACAGTAATTCTTTAGCATATTTTGTACACAGCAAAGTCTACAGACTTCAATGTTTTACCCTGTTATATGAGACAAAAAATTACACATAATAAACAATATTGCAAATCATGATTACAGATCATCATTAGTTAGGGTTAGGGTTAGGGGTTAGGGTTAGGGCAAATAATCAAATGCTACTTAGTACATTTAACATATGTGTACATGCAATTAGTGGAGACAAATTTGTTAAAAAAATTGGAACTTTAAATATATGTTTTACTAGTATAAAAGCATTCAAGAATACATGTACTCGTACATATATCTTTTATGAATAAGGATAACTCTATCATTTAGAAGTATTACTTTTCAATAGTAAGGTGTGCACTTTTTGTTCATTAGAGATGATTTTATTAGGCAATTTTATTAGGTTACTAGGTTATTAAGTAGCAAGAATTGGTAAAGACTTATAAAGTCATATATTCAATTTTTGCTACCATATCTATATACATGCATGTTTATGTTTGATAAGTAATTAAATGTACCCGAATGAAATATATTTCTTGAATACACAAGATGCCGTATACGATATAAACCATGAATTAGAAATGTGTATATGCAACAGAAATATGGGAAGGGTGAAATAAAAAAAACATGACAAACAATGTTCGATTTAAAAAGGTCTTTAAACAATACAAATCTATGAAGAGGGCATAAAAACAGACGTATTTAGGAAATTCCAGAGATGGATCAGGTGTATAGCAGGAGTAAGCATCCCTTGTCGACCTGTACGTCACTTCCGCCAAGAGCTTAATACATGTACATTGGTTAGCCATACGAAACATTCTTTAGTCGAATTCAGAACGAAACAAAGGCTTGACAATTGGTAAGCAACATGTCAGCTAGAATACGACCCAATGTTAGATTAGACTTGCCTATAAGGACATTATAGCAAACATAGAATTTTCGAATTGCTGGCTTTAAACAAGGTTGTTGAAATCCATGATATATGAACTTTTCTGTCACTAGTCCCGGGAATCGAAGACTGATCGTACTCGGAGAATGCCTTTGAGCATTGAATACGTTTGGAGATGGTAAGACCATATACAGATGATGGCGGGGTATTATTATTATACTTAGAATTCATTCGAGGTATGCCAATTAAGTGTTTTACCAATCAGCCTCGATCAGATGTAAACTCACTGTCCAAAACTTAAAGGAAGCCGAACACGTACCACATTCTACCAAATTGTTTGTTCAGGTTTAACAGTTTAGATAAACTGGTGGAGCACTGGACTGGCATGTCAATGGTTCCATGTTCAATCCAAATCAAATACTCAAGCATATTCTCTTTACATAAATTGTTTGACGGAGATGACGTAACATGCTTGATTCCATCTGCAGTACATTAATTGTACAATCAATTTTATGCTGCAAACCAAATTGTTTCAAATGTTTTAAAATAGAAATGTTGTTTTTTGTTCATTGGAAATGATATTATACATGTAATTTTATGCACAAAGGAATAATATTCATGTGAAGTTCAGTAAACAAATTCTCTTCAGTAATCCGACTTAACTCAATATGAGTTAAGTCCCGTTATGGAGACAAATAGAGATAAAAGGTTCAGGGAAGATAACTCTCACTCAAATGCACTGACTTCATTTAGTCACATCATTACGCATGTGCATTTGCTCTTCCTTTCCATCTTCCGTCAGCCATTGAAACTCAGCATCGAGTTTAGTCTCAACAATATTCATCTTCATCTTGCATTCCTTTGACCATCCAACGTCGGTAATATGAACATAATCAGGGCAAATAGATCCTGGACTAACGGCCCATCCATATCACCCGACGTGCGAATTTATCATAGCATATCTAAAGTATCAACATCCCCAACGACGATATTAACCATGCGTCCAGCAACCACCGCAGTAGATGAACTCTTGTTTGAGAACAAGACCTCAGTGTATTAATACATTGGTGAAATCGAGACCAACTTTTCGTTGTTATAAAAACCAGCGTTTACAAATGGTGCCCACATACATTGGACATTACCAATAGCCATCCTGCAGTGATCACGTGCCTCTTGGATCCGCCACGACATAGATCAGTGTCACATATCATCGGGTTCGGACTGCAAAATATTCCATCCATCATGGATTCATGTGTCGGTAAAATTGTTTTAATTTTTAAGTGCAGCGAGGAACTTGGCTGTGAATGTACCTTAAGAAAGACAATTTCTGCAAATTCAACCAAAGTGGCATTTATTACTTTGTTAATTTAACTGTTTTAAAATATTTACTTGTCATTTCATTAAATCATTTCGTGCATCAATCAGCTGATCTCTTGACAGTCTTGTCGTAACACTTGTGCTTGTCTTGATATATGCTATTTATTCAATGTTTATCTATTTATTTTGCATTTACATCACATTGATCACCACCATCATTGTTTGTGCCTCAATGTTGTACACTGGTTGAGAAATATCTTTGAAGAAAGAGTCACAGATGTGTGAGAGTTGAGGGTAAGTTACGACTGATTGAGAAGGGAACCATCTACAGATCACGTTCATAGACCATAGATATGGTAAGATTGTGTTTAGCAAAGTTTGTGTATATTGTGATGTCTGTGTTTAATACAATTTCATTTGGCAACTATAGGAATTGAAATGTTTATAGTGAAAAGTAAAGTATTTTATGATGACAAATTTGCATAATATAATGCATGAAATGTTATTTTACGATCCTTAAAAGTTACTAGGAAAATGGAATAATTTCCTTGAGCAAAATATTCAGTGTCCAACATTTGTAAGTGCATGCTCCTTGGGTGTTCAACGACGATGTCTTACTTTAGGAAAAATTTACATCTATAAACTCCATTGGATTGTCAGTCAATAGGTTACAAAAATAAATAAATAACTAAATAAATAAAATAATAAATAAATAAAATAAAATTAATGAATTAATGATATAAAAAATAATAAATAAATAATGTGGGAAACGATGACATTTCAACAAACTTGTCAGGAAATAGGAATTCCAGTTAACGCAGATTAAGATGGAAAGCCCACCCACTTATTTAGAATAAATAAATAAATTCCATGGATTCCGTAGAGTCTGAGAAACTACCTAAACATTTTAACAAAATTGTCAGAAAATAAAAAAAAAAAAAATTGCAATTAAAACAGTTTAAAATCGTAGGCCACACATTGTATTATAAAAATAGATAAACAAATGAATAAGTTTCAAGGATTCCTTAGTGTATTAGAAACTACATGTACCTAAACACTAACAAACTTGTCAGGAAATAAAAATTTCAATTAATCCAGTTTTCAATCCCTGGTTTTAGATTACCGATAATTGATACACATACAAATGGACACAAATATGGAGGATTAGATGCACGGGATTGACGTACACACTGTAATGGGATAAAGGGATCTTATCGCATTGTTTACAAAACCTCTCTATTTTGTCATTGTTCAGATATGTCACAATACGTAATTTAAATATTTTTTCTAAATAGTAAATAACAACTGCAGATAGACAAAAATAATAACATATTATAATACATTTAACCAGGACAGGAACAAAAATAAATTCAGGAAATAAAAAATTCCAATGAAATCAGTTTAAAATTTGTAGGCATTTAACATAAAATAGATAAATGAATAAATAAGTTTTAAGGATTCCCTAGTGTGTTAGAAACTACATGTACCTAAACACTTACAAACTTGTCAGGAAATATAAATCTCAATTAATTCAGGTTAAAATTGAAGGCCCAACTACTAATTTAACATTTCTTGTTCTAGTTAAAAATTGGAAGTTCAAGTTCAAGTTATTCACTCAAACCGTATAAATGCTACATGAGGTTCAACAATATATGTACAATATATACAAAAAATAATATACAAGATACAAGTGAAATGGCGGAATTAATTTTCGTACGAGTAACAACATATAATTATGCCAAAACATATTCACCCCAGAGCATTTTGTAAAGAGTGAAAATTTGTTTGGCTGATTATTGGCATTTTCAAATGCAGTATCGTTCAATGCTGTGGCATTAGTAATTTAATTTTGTTAAACAGTAAAGTTTTATCAGAAAGTGTGGCATGTAGCTGAAGATTTCACAATGCAGCTTTAACCCATAATTTAAAAAAAAAAAAAAAAAAAAAAAAAAAAAAAAAAAAAAACGTTATGTTTATAATATAATAATAGACAAATGGCTAATTAGATATAAATAAATAAATAATTAATAAATAGATTAAATAGATCTAATTAAAATAAATAGTCAAATAAATATAATAATAAAAATGCAAAAGCATAATTATACATGTATATATATCTTCCACATTTTGTCAAATCAAGAAAAATCTTCATTATTTAAAATACTTCACAGGTATTTGTCAATTAGACCCTACTTTCCATGTTCAGTTTTTGATTATTTGGTGTGAAGCCTTCTTATCATTCCATTACTTTAATGCTACAGAAATTTATTTTATTTCTTGGGTTTGACACTAAAACATTTAAGGGTAATACTCTTAGAATTGGGGGTGCTACACATTGAATTCATCAGGCTTGTCTGAAGATTATATAAATATTAAAGAAAAAGGGAAGTCCATGCATTTCAGACTTTCATTCAATTTTAGTCAGACACAGTCTCACTTGTCAACACCTTTTACTGTTTTTAAATTTATTCTAAGTTTGCAGGCACTTAATTCTGTCATTGTATGTGTTATTGCATCATCTTTATGAGTATTATGCAAAAAAAAAAAAAAAAAAAAAAAAAAAAAAAAAAAAACCCACACATTCATCAATTTAGATTATGCGAATCGGACTTAAAACAATACAACATCCATATCAGATGGTTTGGTCAACAAGGAATCACCTGGAAAAGGGTCCCACCATTCAAATAATTGAACTCTGGTGTCATAACACAACATCCCACATGTCATAATGATACATTGGGGGTAATAGTATTGGTTCCATGTCCCTTCGCCATCTACAAAAGTTTATGAAATTGACTGTCTTGTTTTCAATTATGTTTAATACCAAGGTTAAAATTTATTGGGTCACAAATGCTGCCAAGAAATTATTTCAGGCCCATGTTGTCACACAAGGTTTGCATTAGGATAAATAGCTCATATATTGGTTCATTGACACAAGAGGTGGGGGTATAGTCACTTCCTCAATATTCAACAGGGCTCACCAAAATTGTATCCAGAGGGTGTTCACCTTTCCCATATACCACACTCTACAATTATTCTCTATACCATTCAGTGTGACATAATAAAAATAATTTGTCAAAATTTTCAGTGCTACCTACCATTTCCATTTAGTTATTGAGCATTGCATATATTATTGATCTTTGCAACTATTGTTCTATTGAACTTTTGAACAGTTATTGATCATTACATATATTATTGATCTTTGCAACTATTGACCTATTGAAAAGTTATTTAACATTACATATATTATTGATCTTCATAAAAAATTTCCCTAGTTCTACAGTATACTGCATACTGTAAACCAACTTTTATTCGCGTGCGAGAAATTTTCGCGAAGTTCGCGAGAGCCTCGTCATCGCGAATATTTCTCGCCGCGAACAGGTTCTTAAAGTCTATGTGTCTATTAAAAGGGAACCTTAATAGGCTTTTATCGCCAAAATTAATCGTCGCGAACTGGTTTACCCCTGACAAATCGCGAAATAAAGTCGTCGCGAATAAAAGTTGGTTTACAGTATATATCAAGCAGTAATTAATTTTACATAATGGTAATAAATATAGCAGTTTTGTCATGGCATGGGCAAAATTTGCCGCATGTGGCGGATGTCTTCACATGCCGCGCTTTATTAGCTCCCATGTGAAGACATATGGCCGAATTTTGCTAGAAGCTCGCTGCTGATCCTGTTATCTTCCAGGTCCAGTGGCCAATAATTGAGCTTCCGTCATTGTGCCATTGCTATTGATTCTACGTCATATACTATTGATAAAGTCGACGTAGACCATTGTCTTTGTAATACATTGCTACCTGATCATTGCAATTCATTTATCATTGAATATCATTGTATATCATTGAATATCATCGCATATTATTGCATAATATTGCATATCATTGAATATCATTGTACCCATTGTGTAAATACATGTGTACACTTTGCGTACATCATTGATTGAATATCATTGTTTATCATTGAATATCATTGTACCCATTGTGTATTAATTGTTCAATATACACTTTGCGTACATCATTGAATTGATACTTTATGTACATCATTGTAGAGATACCTTGTGTACATCATTGTATTTATTGTATTGATTTGACTATTGAGTATATTGATGATTGATTTTGACTATTGATTTATTGATGATTGATTTGACTATTAATCAATAAAGCCATGACAAAAACTGCCAATCACTCTTAATCTATTTTGTCGACATAATCCGACTTAACTCAATATGAGTTAAGTCCCGTTATGGAGACAAATAGAGATAAAAGGTTCAGGGAAGATAACTCTCACTCAAATGCACTGACTTCATTTAGTCACATCATTACGCATGTGCATTTGCTCTTCCTTTCCATCTTCCGTCAGCCATTGAAACTCAGCATCCCACCCACCTCTCCCAATTTACAAGATTTTTATGAATTGTTCTTTTTTGACAACAAAATTTTGCTGCTGTCTTTGATTTCCTTTTTCAGTTACCATCCATGCTTTTGGCTTCCCATTCCTTTGACCACCAGCAGAAGAATCCATTACATCCATTCCCTTGTCCTCAAACAGAAGAATCCATTTCCGCCGTCCTTGGCTTCCAGCGATAGGAACCATAACCTCAGTTCCCTTGGATACCAAAAGAACCTATTAGCGTCATGGCTTTATTACGACTCATTGAAATGCAAAGTATATGGTATTCTTACAGACTGTTTTTTAATGCTGAATCGAATTTTGCTAGAAGCTCGCTGCTGATCCTGTTATCTTCCAGGTCCAGTGGCCGAATTTTGCTAGAAGCTCGCTGCTGATCCTGTTATCTTCCAGGTCCAGTGGCCAATAATTGAGCTTCCGTCATTGTGCCATTGCTATTGATTCTACGTCATATACTATTGATAAAGTCGACGTAGACCATTGTCTTTGTAATACATTGCTACCTGATCATTGCAATTCATTTATCATTGAATATCATTGTATATCATTGAATATCATCGCATATTATTGCATAATATTGCATATCATTGAATATCATTGTACCCATTGTGTAAATACATGTGTACACTTTGCGTACATCATTGATTGAATATCATTGTTTATCATTGAATATCATTGTACCCATTGTGTATTAATTGTTCAATATACACTTTGCGTACATCATTGAATTGATACTTTATGTACATCATTGTAGAGATACCTTGTGTACATCATTGTATTTATTGTATTGATTTGACTATTGAGTATATTGATGATTGATTTTGACTATTGATTTATTGATGATTGATTTGACTATTAATCAATAAAGCCATGACAAAAACTGCCAATCACTCTTAATCTATTTTGTCGACATAATGTAAATGGTAAGGTAAATGAAATTTTTAAATGATGAATGTTTTTAAGATGAATTTTAAAAGGTGTTCTTTATAAGGATATGAAAGTGATACTTGTGTCAGAAATTATTAATTTTATATTATGAAATGATTCCTTTGTAATTGGAACAACGCACAATGAGATTAAAATAGATTTTTCAATAGCTCTCCATGTTTACATGATGATCTCATGCATAGAGATCATGAATAGGAATGTTCAATTGAGCTCAATTATAAAACAGCTAGATTAATGACTAAAATAGAAAATGAACATGTCCTCAATGTTCACATCATGTTTCTTCTTAAACAAAACAAGTTTTAAGTTTCAAGAGTATTTTTAATAGAAAATTGTTTAATTAAGAAAGTGTACAATCTGGTTTTCTATTGATACACAGAAAAGAAAGGCAGAAAACTGAGAGCGAATCTGTAATTAATGTTTTATCAGAAAGAATTGATTTGTCTAGAAGAAAGCGAAAAGTGAAATCCATAAGTTGACATTCCTCTACCTTATACACGGTTAAATGTAACTTCTCGTGACAGTGCACAAGTACAGATCGACAACAAAGATGCTGAACACTTGAAAGTTCAACGATACGTGACTGATGAATGCGTCAATGATCTAGAAGATGACTGTACTCATACACCCATGTATCTCACATTCATAATTAATGAAAACGGATGATAATCGATTTGAAATAACAACAGTACACAGTTAAAGCGATGGAATGAAACAGACCAAAGTTTAATGGCACCAGGTAGGGGTACAAATCAATGCTTCTGTTCACTTCTTTCATACAATAAATGTTTGCCTAGATTCAACCAACCTACATTAGAACTGGTATTTTCCAATGATAACGAATACAAATAAATAACAAAAAATAAATGATTTTGCATTGATGGGTATGTTTGAAAGACGTATGCATACACAAAATTATATAATCTTTGTAAACAACAAACAAATAACTTAAAAGGATAACGACTTCAAAAGCATTTAAATAATAATTTTGGCTAATATTTGTAGAGACGTGTACGTTTCTCCCAAACAAGACAAGAAAATGGCAAAATCCACTTTAACTCTGTTAACTAGTAAAACAAATAGTTCTTAAGAATGCTTTATCTTTGTTTTCTCAGAAACAAATTTCTTGCAGAGTAAATGTCAAACACTGAAATTAGCAGAACACTTGAAAGGACATTTGCTGACAAGATTTGATAGATGGAATTTTCAAAATAAAAAATGGCGGAAGAATCTGCTTATTTTCTACTATATTCACGAGGTATTTAAGAATCATCTAATTAAAAGTCACTTACATTTGGAGACAACATGGACAAGTTATGTAAAAGTTGAATGTTAACTTTCTAATATTGCGAACTTATATCCATGACGTTTAATATCATGTCCTTTATTAACTGTGTCGAAACATGTGATAATATGGACGTTTATCATTATATGTATAAAATTGAATCAAACTGTTTCTTTTTAACCAAAATGTTCAACAGTTCGATTATTTTAAATGCTCTTTTTAATTTCTGTTTTGAAGGTTTTCATGGAGAATTGATTGAAGATGTAGAGCAAAAGTGAGTTATAATGAAACGGTAAGCTTTTAAGGTATAGGCTAATCGAAGAACAATTTCCCCAAAGAAAGCAAGATAATAAAACTGTTGGCTTTTATTTTCAAAGTCTTAAAACAGAGTGTTAAACAGTCAGCTACAATAAAATACCGTTAAAGTAAAAATATCAAATCAATCCCTTTAGTTCAGAATTTAAGTGCTTCAAGGGCCATTGTTATAAGATCATAAAAATCTCGACTACTAAAAAACAAAATTTCTTTAAACGAGTTGGTTGAAACTAGATTGGAGTTGAATTCTTGCAAGGGGCATGCTTGATATAACAGAGAGAGACAAAATTTTAGAAATTTAGATAACTAATCAATATAACTTTCAATCTCCTTGGATAAGTTTAATGAACTGGCATAGGACGTACACTTCTCCTAGCTCGATTAATACTTTTAAAAAATGAAGGTTAGGTGAGGACGAAAGCATATTTACATTTTAAATGTTGATACAAATTAAATCCCTTCTGATCCCAAACCTTTAATTGATAAAAGAATATCAAAATAAGCAGGGATGAGTGAGGTAGCAATTAAAGTAACTATAAAACCTTGGAAAACATCACTTTTGCAAGTCGTCAACACTACATAACTATCAGTTTGTCAGCACAGGAATGCGCATAATCATGTAACAGACACTAAGTCACTTTTAACATTAACAATTTAAAGGAAAGATAGAATCGTACTTATAAGGACAAATGGAAATTGTAATCATAAATGCCCTCTCTCTCTCTGCATCCAAAAACAAAATTTAATTAAGTCAAGTTAAGGTTTTTGCATGTATGATGTCTTTGGAGCATGGGAATATTTCTTTTCTCTCAGTTACTTCAAGTGACAGACTTCTGAATAGGTCTTTGGCATAAAAATATTTATGTTTAGTATATGTGTGATTTTAAAGAGAATGTAGCAGTTTATTGCTTAGAAAAAAAAACAAAAACTTTTGAAACTGATATCTAAAAATAAAACGTGCGTAGAAGAGTTTCTTATAGGAAAGTAGGTAGAATATATATAAATCTATAATATGTATGCATGAAAAAAGATAAACATTTATCAGATAAAAGTAAACTAATATAATTTTTTATTAAAATTGTTTTATTTCTTACCTATAAAATGAGGCCGCCATGTTTGCACATACAATCCTTGATACAGCAAAGCTGTAGTTAGGTGTATCTCGGCACGTGTTCCAAGGAAAGAGATTTATAATTAAAAGGAATAATGTGATATATAAACTCCACAAATCCAAAACGAGAGGAGTTTATATGAGTGTATTTACATTTTTAAACGCAGTGTGCAGTCGGCCGGGCGGTTTTGGTTTTTAAAAAATCTCCCGGTGCCTCTCTCTTTCTGGTTTTCAGTTACGAGAGGCTTATGAACGTTAGAGTAGGATTTACATGTCTGTCAATTATTCCCTGGAGATTTAAATTATAGATTTCTGAAAGGTAATTCGGACGTGTATAGGTGGGAAAGGAAGATTTAAACTGTTTTGTTCATTGCTCAAAAACTTTTATGAAAGAATTTATAAAGTTAATCTTTAAAAAGAAAGAAAATCAGTTCAATTTATTTAACGAAAGGAAAATTAAAATTACACAGGTGTACTTTGTAATATGTACATGCAAATGAAAGTTTACATTTCAGTTTGATGCAACGAGTTTAGATGCTAAGATAAATCAATAATTTAAAAAGGATTAAGACATTTGATTATGCCATTTTATTGATTAAATCTGCTTTTCACTCTTGTGAGAAATTCAGTAAATTCAGTAAAAGTCTTGTTCATGTATCAGAGACAAATAATATGACCACAGACATCAGCATGGATACCTTCTCAATAGTTTAGGTCAACGAAAAGAGTATTAAAAGTAACATAAATTGTGTATTTAAATGACATATTTTAAATTGTCTCATTTAAATTAAAAGACAAATTCAAAATTATAAAACAATAAAAAATACCTGCTTTCTGACAAAAGCTCCGATGAAAAACCTACGCCTTTAATGTTTTACTTTCATGGTTATAGACCGAAAAAAGAATTACACCGTTTAATATCTGTCATAGAAATCATCTCATTTGGAACGTGTTGAGTATCTACCTTTTGAATGTGTCATGTTATGCATATTAAAAGATCTTTTGAATATCACTGGTCAAGAAAACAACGTAGTACTATCATAATTGATATGTAAAATTTTCACATTATCAGCATAATAATGCACGAATGTTTCTAAACACTGAACACGCGTAAGAGCCATCATCAAAGTTTTAACCGTATCTTTTTCGACACTCGTTTCAGTTCATCCACTAATCTCTTAAACATGTTAAATCTCTTACAAGATTTTTATTTCCATGCTAATCAAACATCTCTACTGAATTTTACTACAAAAAGATCCACCTCAGCTTATTTAATTGAATTTTTTTTTTGTATTTTTTTTTATGTAATTTTCGTGTTTATTCTGTTGTTTGGATATACCGTAATAGCATCAGATTCAATGAACAACTACACTGCACTTCAGAAAAATATTAATGGCACACTTGCAATTAAACGTGATGACTTTATTTATGTAGCTGTTACATCCTTATCAGCTGTCATGAAGTTTGTTTCAGTGATTAATTTGATATGCAAGAGCACGAACAATTCCAAAACAAGACACACTTTTGACAAATAATTCAATAAAACAAGAATACCAACAATCTCATTTAAATTCAACATTATGCAAGGTTTTTTTTTCCAATACAATGACATAGACAGCATGCATAGTTGAAGGCATCACGTTTTCGATACAATTACATTGTTAACCCATTAAGATTTTACACTGAACTGACGGCGGATATTTTCCCTTACTCGATCATGACAAGGACTATACGGCGGATGTGACCGGTAGACAGGGGATGATCACTCCTCCATGGTACCTGATCCTATAAATCTGATGTTTCTAGAGGCCTGTGTTTGCTCTGCTCCAAATACGTATTACGCAATGGACTTTTGAACTTGGTTACTGTTTGTTATCTCCATATAGATTGAAAACTTTAGGCAACAGTAAAAATAAAATAAACTATAGTTATGTGGATGATATCGGTTAAGATATGTTCCAATCATTAAAATCTTTTATAGGCTGCTAGAAAAAAAATTGATGGTTTTTGACAAATAAACCATTCAGAAGAGTTTCTAATGTTAATACTAATGTGAATGCATTTTCAATTCATTAATAAACCAGCAGTTAATCAAGACAATAGTAATTATAGTGAAGTTTGTTCATAACAATGGAAAATGGAAACTTTTATTTTTCCTTTAATGATTTGTTAACTATGAAGTTATTTATAACCTTGTAATTAATTTTTACCTTTTATATTCAAGAATTTGCATTGTGTATCAAAACCTTCTATGGTGTACATAAAAAGGATGAAAAAAAAACTTATAACTAAATTGTGTTACAAACGAGATCATTTAAACCACTTCATTTGAAGTTATCATTAATTTAATAAATTCTATGGTTGAAATGACTTTGTTATCAAAATATAACCTATATATCATTGGATCATATTTTTGTTGACGTGTTTCATACCAGTTGTTAGGCCTTTGATATTATGATAAAATACAATTTATCATTGAGTCAAATGCTGACTGACGTTTTCAATACTAATTGATAGGACATTATTTATACACTGAATTGTAGACGGATATTTTCTGTTATTTCCCGATCATGGCAAGGAGTACACGACGGGTGTGACCGGTCAGCAGGAGATTCTCACTCCTCCCTTGCACCTGATCCCACCTCTGATGTTTTGGAGGTTCGTGTTTGCCCTGCTCCTATTTTGTATCTTCTAATGGACCTTTGGGCTTGAATACTGTGCGTAATCTTCATACATTTCATACTGAATATGACAACGGACTGTTTCATCTACTTTATTAAAACATAGGACTGAGAGACGGTTCAAAAGGGGATACTCACTTCCCCTTAGGCACATGGTTTCACGTCTAGAATTTTCGGGGGTCCTTGTTTAAGTGTTGTTCACATTTGTTGATATCTATCACAATTCGTTATATCATTTTTTTTCATATATATGATTCATGCTCATTAATTTAATTAAGGACAGATGATACAAACAAACTTTTGTCAAACATTTTGAAAATAAGAACTTAGGTCATGTTTTAATGAATAAAATGAACAAGTTTCACCGCGTAATTTTTAACTTTTTATTGAATTAGCACAAAAATGGAATTTGAAGAGAAAAAAATATTGTATAGAAAAATAAGTATGGTTTCAGAAGGGTAAAATTCTGAACGTCACAGAAGGTTTACAATTTCTTTATATCATAGAAATTTATTACTTGCACCATTTGCAATGAAATAAGGTCAAAAAACATATACCAATCCAGGCATCCATTTTTTGTTTGTATCATCGTCCTTAGGGTATATCAAAATTAAAACTTTAAAACAGAAAATCCAAATCGAAAATGTTAAAATAAAAAATTAGAAAATAATTTACTGATGTCTCTGAAATTAAATCATGGTCATAGTCATCTACTTGTAAGAGATACGAATCTCGAGCTCCCATCATGGAGTTTATATAATCTTTATAAAAATTATATGATAATATTGATATTTTTAAAAAAAAATCGTTTAAATTTCGATCCTATAAACAGCCTGATTTATCTTCAGAAGTTAGGCAAAAACACCCCATCCAAGAACAAATTGTTACTATACGTGTACACTGATATCTAAATTTTGAAGAAAAAGAATATTACTCATTTCCTTTTTTCTATTCTCGTTTGAAATATATAGAAGAGTCGCAAAGCATTAACCTTGCGTTTGATAATATATTATGTTGTATTTATATGAATTACAAAGTTATAGCAGTAAGTATCGATTAATGCAAAACACTTTGCGTTTAATTGCAAAAGATTGCGTTTAAACACAAAAAATATTGCGATTAAACGCAATAATACTTTTGCGCTTAATCGCAATAATCCTTGCGTTTAATCGCAATAATATTGCGATTAAACGCAATATATTTTTGCATTTAAACGCTATAATCTTTGTATTTAAAAGCAATCTTTTCTATTGATCTTTGAAGAGTGCAAACGATATTTTTTCTTTCTTATTCATAACATATATTGTGTATTGTTAAGTTGAATACCAGTACTTTGCAAGTTTTAATTTTCAAATCATTGTTTTGGATTTATATAGTTGTTATCTTGACAACCTAGGAAAGAAACAAAGCTTGTTGACATGTTTAAGTATATTGCTAAAACACAAATCATTTCCTATATTGTTTTCTCTAATTTTAAACTTTAAAACTATGCAAACAATTTTAAAGGATTTTCGAAGTAAAATACCGAAAAGGAAATAATGATTGAGAAACTATCACTCAACGTTGAGGTCAAAAAGTTTAAACCCTGTACCTGTATAAAGGGCTTAAGGAAACAATTGATAAAATGTTTAGACTTATGTATACGTACATGTACATATTATGTATATGTATATCCACAACCTTTCCTTTAATCGCATACATTAAACACGAGAACAAGAATTTATATTTTTTAAATCAAATGAAAACAGTTTAATTGATATGTCTATTATAATTTTAATTAGCTGTGATACCTAAGGAATTGATTAATGGCTGCGTTAAAAGTGTTGGGCTCTAATAGCTTAGAGAAGCTCTGGTTTTTGGGATGCTATTGTAAAACCTCAAATCTCACAAACTGCAACATTTTAATTATTGGACATTTTTAACATAATCTTTGCCATTAAACGCAAAAAATTATTGCGATAAAACGCAAAAAAATATGCGATTAAATGCAAAACTATTGCGTTTAAACGCAAAAATTATTGCGTTTAATCACAAAAATTATTGCGATATTATTGCGTTTAAACGCAAAAAAATATTGCGTTTATATTGAAAACGCAATAGATTGCGATTAAACGCAAATATTTGCGTTTAAACGCAATGATTATTGCGATTAATCGCAATCTTTTGCGCTTAAATGCAGTGAATTGCGATTAAACGCAATAGATATTGCGATTAAGCGCAATAAAATGCGATTAAGCGCAATAAAAATATATCTGTTAATAATAATAACGTGTATTTTTTTTAATCACAGACCGTGAAATTAAAACCATCGCAAAAAATACCAACAGAAAAAAAATCGTGAAATATTTTCATGTGGAATATAAAGCGTTCATTTGTTTTTATTTATTTATTTATTTATTTATTTTCAACAGCGTTCATTTTAACTTTATTACTCATTATTTGTTCCATGATGGGCAACATACTATCTACCATTTCCCTCTTTGTTTAACAAAAATGTTTTATTATTCATTAAAAAAAAAATTAAAAACTGAATTACATATATAACACACTTTTATTAATATCGACAAAACATG